GATTTTTGCTTCTCTTCTTCTTCTCAAATCAAGATTGAGCTGATGGCTTGCTCTATAATGACCAAATGCAAGTATAAAGTTTCATCAAACTCCGACTTAGATAGAATAGGTGCAAAGGATAAGAACTGCTCGAGTTCTTTAAAAATTTTTTGACATTGAGGGGTCCACCTTAAGTCAAAAATATTTAAAAATTTTAAAAAATAACAGACATCATTTTATCGATTTGGACATGAATCGACTTAGGGCAACTATTTTTCCAATTAACCTCTATACTTTTTTTATTGAGGTTGGTGTTGTCATGTTTAGGATTACCTAAACCTCTTCTGGGTTCGCTTCTATCCTCCTCTTATTAATTATGTAGTAGAGAAACTTACCTGATGTAACCTTAAAGGCATATTTGCTCAGGTTAAGCCTAATATTATACTTTTTAGGGTGTTAAAAGTCTTTCTAAGGTCTTTCAGATACTCAGTCAAGCTCTTGTTTTTTACTATCATGTCATCCATATATACTTTCATATTACGATCGATCTGATTTTTAAATACTTTATTTACTAATCTTTGGTAGGTCGTCCCTTTTTTTTTTAATCTGAAAGGCATTTTCTTATAGTAATAAAAGCCGTTCTCGATAATAAAAGTTATCTTTTTCTCGTCGTCCTTTAGCATTTTGATTTGGATGTAACAAAATAGGCATCCATAAAGTTGAGGAGGCCATGCTCAACATTATCATCCACCAGCTAATCTATGATAGGAAAAAAAAGCCATCTTTTAGGCATGCTTTATTTAAGTTGGTAAATTCAACACACATCCTTCATTTTATGTTGTGCTTTTTTACCATGACCACAGTAGCCATCCATTCAGAGTAATAGACCTCTTTCAATAAAGCCTGCTTGTAATAATCTATCGACCTCATTCTTAATGGCCTTTTGTCTTTTTAGGGTAAAAGTTCTCTTCTTTTATCAAATTGGTTTTATCTCGAAATTGGTATGAAGCTTATAAACCATTATTTTGGTATCAATTCCAGGCATATTAGATGGTGTCCAGGTGAACAGGTCGATATTATCTCTTGAAAGTTGAATTAACTAACCTTTATGTTGAAATTTAGTTCTGATCTGTATATATCTTTTAGGGATGCTATCCTATAACGAAATTGCTATGAGATCCTTGACCGACTCAGTTTAGTTTCATCTAAGTTCAGTCCTTGATCAATTATTTTTTTTGTTATATTAAGTCGAGATCATTTATTAAAAAAATAGATCATAACGTGATGATTAGTATGTTATTGATAACTTGTTGAATATGTATATAGTGAAATTAGTATGTATTTTTTATTTCAAGCTATATTTTGGTAGACATATTAGCTTAGTCTAAATGACATGTAATTATTCATGCTGGCTTAAGAGTTCGATTGTCTTTAGATTACTTCAAAAAATTCAAAAAATAAAACAAAAGATTTTTTGTGTTTGAGTTTAAAAGCTCAAAACGGCTTAAGAACGTGCTTTTATCAGGTTGATCTTACATTGTGTGTTTTGCCTTATGGTTTTTTACTTTTTTTTATGTTTTCAAAGTTTGCCCTCCCTTAGTGTTTTTTGTTTTGGCCGAACTGCCAATCAACTTCCCAGTCCTTCATTTCATTATTATGACATAATACTGTTGTGCTATGGATTGGTCTCTCTTAACCTTTCCAACCCCATTGGGTATTGAAAATTTTACTTTCAGATAGAGAGTTGAGCCTATGAGCCACATAACAAATTGGCTCGGTTGGACCAATATCATATTGTAGGCTAATGGGATGTCTACAACCATAAATTCTATGATTAAGGTGATAGTATTTGGTTGTTCTTAAAGAAATCGGTAACTTAATTATTTCTTTCACTGGTACTTATTCATTTTTAAATCCCACTAATGATGTAGTGATCTACTGTAATTGATTTTCACCAAATTTCATTTTCTCTATAGTGCAATGATACATGATGTCAGTCAAGCTTTCATTATCAAACATGATTTTTTTTACTACATAGTTGTATACTATAATTGTGATCACTAGAATGTCATCACGTGGGTGCTGGATTCCTTTTAAGTCTTTTAAGCTGAATAAGATCAATTCATTTTCTAGTCTTTTTCTCTCTTTGTCGAGATGCCTATGGCTATAACCATGTTTATATTAAACTTTCTTTTGGCTGAGGTTGACCTACCTTCAGTGATCACATTAATTATTCTGACGATCGGCTTGTTGTTATTATTTCAAACTTCTTTTTGCCTTGGCTTGACTCCTTGGACTTCTCTTCTTCCATTTATTAGCCTTCTCTCTCTACCTCAAATAAACTTTTTTCAGTTTATCTATAGTTCATTTTGGGTTGGCTCTATCTTCGCTATTCTACAAACCTTCTCAATTGACCTTTTCTTATTAGGGCTTGGATATCATTTTTTAGGTTAATACAATCTTTGATGTTAAGGCCTACATCCCTATAAAAGGCACATATTTTGGTTGAATCCCTCATTGTGTTCTGTCTTAGTGGCTTCGACCATCTGAGGTCAAGATTTCTTTTAATTTGTATTAGAATCTTCTTTCAAGAGGTATTTAGTACAATGTAGTTTTTTTCTTCACTGAAGTTTCTAGCCATATATCATCTCTCTCTTAAGGGAAATTGTAAAAATCTTTACCTCTCTTACAACCGATGAGGGGGATGAGCTTCTCTCACCATGATCACTGAAGATTGGGGATAAGCCTCTCTCACCTCAATTGTTTCTTGTTATAGCTTCAATATTTATATATTTTTTAGTTATCAGTAGGATGTCGGCTAGAGTTTTAGGTGGTTCTAAAGACAAGGTTAACTTCATGTGATAATCTTTGTTGTTGAGTCCACTTATTAAGATAGCTATAGTAGCCGTTTGCTCCAGGTCTTTAACCTCTAGAGCTTTTGTGTTAAAATATGTAACATAGCTCTTCAAAAATTTATTACAACTTTAGTGGATCAACATCAAACTCAGAGTTGTTTTGTATGCTCTTTGACTATTCATAAATCGAGACAAGAAAGAGTAGCTGAGCTCTTTGAACATTGTAATTGACCTTGGTTCCAGGTTGCTATACCAAGATCGAGATATGCTTTTCAAAATGGTAGCTAGGCCTTTACACATTAAATCTTCATCTGCACCCTTCATCATCATGTTAGTCTTATAAAGTTCTAAATAATCGAAGGGGTCATAAGTATATTTGTAGGTTTTTAAGGTCGACATTTTAAATCCTTTTGAAGGTATGGTTTTATCAATTTCTTCAGTGAAGGGTAATGTCTCCAGGAACTTGAGCTCGTCCTTGAATGTCACTGCCTTTATTTTTAACTCTTTTTTCATGGCTTGCAACCTAGTTTTTAGGTTTTTGTTTGGTTAGGGTTCGAGGTTTATTTGTTTAAATTTTTGAGTTGTGGCAGAGGTAATGGTGAACTAGGGTGTTATGCTTCTCTTCTTTAGATGCCGATGAGGCTAAGCCAGAGGTGATTAGGTCGGCATTTTCAAAACTTGTGGTGGGGTTATGGTCTACAAAATCTGTTTAAGGGCTTGGATTTGCTCAATCAAGGCCTGAAATTGTTCTATAGTCGGGCCCGTCTGTGGTAAGAAAGGTCTTCTGAGTGTTGACTATTATGCATTTCTATTCTAGTTGGGATGACCATTTCTCCTTCCTCTAAAGTTCTTTTCCTTGGTGGCATTGTTTCGTGCTTGGCTAATGAGTGAAAAAGGAGTCCCCTACCTGACGCCCCAAATGGTAGTGCTGAGCTTTGATTTCAAGATACTTTTGAGAAAACAAAAGAGAATGATGGTTAGAGGCAAAAAAGGGGAGTGTTCCTTGTGTTTGCACTTCGATGTGCAAATCAAAATAAGTAAGGTCAGAAGAAGAGTAATAAGGAGAATTATGAGTAGAATAAACTTGCCTTAATGATGCATGAAACTTCATATATATAGATAAGTGATGAAAGACCATAAAGGGACAATAAAGATAGTGCCGAGTTGATGTGGCACTGAGTATATTAGACTGATCTAACATGTCAAGGAAGCACAAATGTTGAAATTATTCTTAATTATCTATTAAAAGCTTCTAATATAAAAAAGATTACTATACCCTTTTGATCATTAACTGCTCTTAACAAAATACAATGTTAAAATATAGAGGATAATTTAAATATAATTTATACTTGATATATTATTTGTGCATAAATATTATATATTATAATAAATTATATGTCACTATAAAAATTAAATTTTAAATTTTAAAAATAAATATATTTAATTTTAAAAATATTTTTAAAATTAATTTTTTAATAAAGTATTTATAATTTATTAACGATGTATAGCATTATTGGATATTGCAGAATATAAATTTATTTAAATAAAGATATTAATTATGTAATAATCTTTTTTATGCCATTTGTTTAAATTACTTTAAACAAAGTAAAATTAGGGCAGAGTTGGATTCTGAGTTTAGTAGTAGTAAGGTGAAAAATGAAAAGAACATAAGGACAAAACAAACAGTTAAAAAGAAATATAGATAATTTTTTTTTATATAAAAATGCATTTCTTATGTTGAATTGAACTTTGAAACTTCCAAAAATTGGAAGGGGGTAATTCCGACTTCTTGCTTGACGAACAGCACACGTTATGATCTCTCTCCTTTCTAGAAGAACGAATCAGAGCTCAGACCAATTCCCCTCCATATCACGCGCCAACGAAGACCCAGCTGTGCGCACCACGTGTACAACTGACTCTGTCTTTTCTCCAATGTCATGTTCCCACCTGGAAAAGACTCCTCCGTCACTCCCACCAAGCGAAATCACTCGAGTTAAAATCTCTTGTGGGCCCAATGGATAGAATATTCCTGATCAACGGGCTTGATCTGCTCACAACTTAAACCTTAGATTTGTTAAACCATATTTTAACCTGAATGTGAAAAATAATAAAAAATAAATTTAAACTTTGTTCAATGATTTAATTCTTGATTATCTAATTAAAGTAAAAAAAAAAGAAAAAGAAAAAAACGGTTTGGACCTTTCTTTTTCCCAACCACCATAAAACGCGGTCCAAAAATCCCCAATAAAATGCCATCTGCTTCAATTAGGGTTTCTCCATATCCGTCTTCATTTCTTCCCATTTTTTCTCTCTTAAATATTGGATCCAATTAAAATCGAAATTTGATTTTTATTGTTATTATTGTTATCATTCGATGTGAGAATGCCCGCGACGGATTATCAAGGAAGCTCGGCACCGTTGACAAATATCGGCCGTTCGTTATTATCCCTGAGGAGGGATCAAGTACATGCGATGGAATCGCCGAACGATGGATCGGCTTCGCACGAGGTGGAGCTCGAGTTGTTTCAAAGGCAAGTAGCTGACCGATTTCACGATTTAGCTTCTGTTCCTTCCGATGAATTGCTTTCTCTTCCATGGGTTCGGAAATTGCTCGACGTTTTCCTTTGTTGTCAAGAGGAATTTCGGGTCATCGTTTTTAACAATAAAGCTCAAGTGATGAAACCTCCCATGGACCGTTTGATTGCCGATTTTTACGAGCGTACTGTTAAGGCGCTTGATGTTTGTAATGCGATTCGCGACGGAATTGAACAGATCAAGCAATGGCAGAAGCTTCTAGAAATCGTTCTTTGCGCTTTGGGTGATAGTAATGTCAATAATAATTCGAATAATAATGGTAATAATAATTGTTATCAGAGAACCCTAGGAGAAGGACAATTTCGTCGCGCGAAAAAGGCGTTGATAGATTTAGCAATTGGGATGCTTGATGAGAAAGATTCCGGTCAATCTTTGTCTCATAGGAATCGTTCCTTTGGAAGAAATAATAATACCAGCAGTCACTCCAAGGATCATCACCATCGTTCTTTGGGTCATTTCAGGTCGTTGTCTTGGAGTGTTTCGAGATCTTGGTCTGCTGCTAGGCAGCTCCAGGCGATCGGGAACAACTTAGCTGCACCACGAGGGAATGAGGTTGTGGCTACCAATGGACTTGCAATGCCTGTTTACACAATGGGTTGTGTTTTGTTGTTTGTAATGTGGGCCTTGGTGGCTGCGATTCCGTGTCAGGATCGGGGTTTGCAAGTTCATTTTTATGTGCCTAGGCAGTTTTCTTGGGCGGCTCCAATTCTTTCATTGCATGAGAGGATCATGGAGGAGTCGAAGAAGAGGGATAGGAAAAATGCTTGTGGGTTGTTGAGGGAGATTTATCAGATGGAGAAGTGTTCACGGTTGTTGGGTGAATTGACTGATTCTGTGCAGTTTCCGTTGAGTGAGGAGAAGGAAGGGGAGGTTAGGCAGAGAGTGAAGGAACTGGGGCAGGTTTGTCACGCAATGAAGGAAGGCTTAGAGCCACTGGAGAGGCAGGTTAGGGAGGTTTTTCATAGGATTGTTCGGAGCCGAACTGAAGGGCTTGACTCTTTGGGTAGGGGGCACAATCCCGAGTAAAAAGTCTGTTGTTGGGTTGCAGTGGTTTAAATTGTTAAGTGTCAAATGTGCAACTTGCAAACGTGTTTTGCTTTCAGCTTCAGGGAAACTCCAGGATCCTGAACATGAAAGAGAAGAGAAGACGAAGATGGAGAAGAAATGAAGAAGGATTTGAGGCTTGCGCCACACAAATAAAAAAGGGTAAGGAGGAAAAACAAAAAAGATTTTCTTGTATTTATCACCATGTATCGGTGTAAAGAAAGTAGGATATGGAGTTGGACCTTTGGTCCTGGTGCTGATGTCCAGCCTTTTGGTTGTTATTGTATAATCAAATTCCTAAGTAAATTTGCATATTCAGTCTCTAGTGATTTTGTGTTGAAATTTTGTCTACTTGTCAATGATATACACCTTTTGTGCTTCTTTGATAATATTCTGCATTTTAGATGCGATAATAACGTGGATAATAGTGAATGAAAGAGTGCTTTTTGTTGGTAAGCTCTTTGGACAAAGTCGCAAATTTGCAATCACCGGATGAAACGCAGAAAACTAATATGATGGTTTCTAGGATGAAGAAACTGTCTCTTTGCTCTTTCGGGCTTGTAAATAGAATACTCATTGACTGGTGTAAGGAGATCTCGCCTGTACCAGCTAAAATGAAGTACCAGGTAGAAGAGAAAACTGATGGATTTGTTGGTCTTCATTTTTCCTTTTTGGTTATTCATTAAGTGTTTGCAAGCATCAGACTACATGATTTCATCATCATGTCTTACATTTTGACTCCTATGAGTTGCCTTGCTAAAAGAGAAATTATGATTTCTGGTTTTCTTTATATCCTGCTGTAAAAGGAATATGATCTTATTGAGCAAATTCTGGCATTTAATCTTGATTCAAGTCCTTGGTAGCCTTCTGATTTTACGAATGATTTTTATCACCGTCATTTATTAAAGAAAAATGCTTGCTATTATGTCATGCAAATCGTCATCCCAGGAAGCTGTCTGCTTTTCCCTGCTCTTTTGTGCTTCAAAAGGAACGCTCCATCGATTCCCAGCTTGCTGTGAGAATGAAGACAATGAAGATATTAAGATAACTGATCTCCATTAAAATTCTTGTTCTTGTGCAATGGACCTGAGCATGTTTTTTTCTAAATTGGATTTGCTGGAATACCCCAGTATTGATGGTGGATTTCTTAAGCGTATTAATTTTCCCGACCTGCAATATGCTAGTGAAGAAAGCATTGAAGGGATCAGAGATCTGGATTGACATCAAGGCATTAGATAAAGTGCTGCTCCTTTTTATTTTTAGAATGAGGATTAATTATGCAACTGTCTTGTGTTCAATATGATTGTTTCAGTGTAGGCTTCCTGTGTCCCTTATATCACTGTTTCTTGGCACATATTTCAGCACAGTAATTCTACCCTTAAGCGTTTTGTCCCTTAATGCAGTTTGGAGTAACTTCTACTGTGCATGCAGTTTTGTCACCCTTGTCTGGCTAGAGTAGCAGGATATTAACTCTCTCACCCTCTCTGTTTGCAAGCAGAATTTTGTTGTTCTTGGTTGGTATTGCTAAAAGCAGATAGGTTCTAATCATCGTCCGTTCAAAAGATGTGGCAATGACCAGCTTCAAAGAATGAAAGGACTATTGAATTTCTAGATGTGGACTGTCCAGGTATATTATGGATGTTGAAGTCACTTCTAAACAAAAGCGAGTAATGCAACATGTCAGAATGCATACATAGATAGGGTTGTTTAATGCGCCATTCTTTTCCTCGAAATCAGCACATTGGATTCATTGGACCAAAGATTTCCCATAAAAATAAATACAAAATTCTCTTTAGTTGGACTTCATTGCATTCGACATGTAACAACATGTAAATGATTTCTAGCTAAATTAACATTCGCAAATCTCTCTCAAACTGTTGTGGGTTGTTTATGGTCTGTATACGCATCGTGAGAGAGTTTGTAATTTATAAAGGTATTTTCTCCTACCAAGTTACTTGGATATGCTTGTGAAAGTTGGGAAAGGTAGCAATGCGAATGATTGCTTTGACTATGTCTATCGATGTTTGCTTGGATATGCTTGTGAGAGTTGGAAAAGGTAGCAATGCCAATGATTGCTTTGACTATGTCTATCGATGTTTGTTATTGTTAACTAATTACTGAGAGCATTTAACATTTTTTGTTTGTGGTAAAACAGAGCATCAGACTTTGGTCATGCTTTCTGGCTGCTAATTAATGTGAACAAGGAAGTCATATTTGCTGTATCCAGTTGAGACAATAATTGATTTTTAATATTCAATTGTATGGTTCAGACATCAATTCCCCATATTCTCTCTCGTAGCCTGTTTTACTATTGTTGAAGGAGGAAGTCGCTCCCTCTGCCCCATTTCTTGATATATGCAGCAGTGGCATGATTGGTGGAATATAACATCTCCAGACTCCCAGAGAAAGCGAATTTAACCCATTTGCTACCTACCAAAAGGGTTGAAGAGTCCGTCCTAACGACACCTCAATGGCTGGCTGTCATAAAACTCAGAACTTTAATTACTAAAAGCTTCTTGTTTTGGTTTATTGGCTGGCTATTGAAGTGAGAGCTTATTTATGTGGACTTCAGGAATTTTTGTAGTTGCCGAGTCGGCTGTTTTTGCCATTAGGCTTTTCATGGGAAAAAGACTGGGGGCATAAAGTGACATTGGAAAAACCCACTTATCACATATATGGTTTTTCAAGTTTTTTAATGTTGAAAAAGATGATTAAACAGATATTTCTCATTGTATTTGTATTAATCAAACTCGTCTTGACTTTTACTGCGTCTGCTCCATTTACTTGTGCAGATTGTCTTATCTACTTTTAACTTTGCAACCAAACTGCTTCTTTGAAGTTTTGGTAGAACTAGAGCAAGGGCTGTCAGACTGAAATTATCTAATAACCCAATATTTTGGAATTTGGTTTCAGTTTTTGGATCTTTAAACCCTTTTCTAGATTAAAAAAAAAAAAAAACCTTTCCTCGGTCTATGTTTAGCTTTTTAAGCGAGTAGAGGATGTTTTAAAACACTGACATTAATATTTGGGGAGGGGCCTCAAGCTGAGGCCATCTCCTATTGCTTCGCAGCGTACTGCAAAATACAAGCCACTTGACCGCTACAAATTTACAACCACAAAAAACTGTGCTGCGAGCCAGCGACTGAAACTTGTCAATTTATTTGCTTTCAGGGCCCAACAGGCAAGCATTTCGGTACCGTCAAATTCTTTGACGTGTAACATTTTTGGTGGAAGACATTTCTGGCATCTGCTTGAGCTGCTCCTCATTAACTGTGAAAAGAAACTGAAACTCTAATTAATCTGATTTTATAAAGTCTTATGTAATGCTATATCATTTCGACATTTCGACTATTGTTGCATTAACTGGGAAACGTAAAAGGTGTGATGACTTTGTTCAGATGGGTGATGACAAAAACAACAATATATTTCCTACAGCACAATCATGGTTGTTTACCTTGGCTCTCAATGATTTCTTTTAGTTTTGGTCATAAGGTAGCTGTCAGACACAAAGCTGAAGTTCTACTTCCAAAATTCATAAATTTCAAAGTCTGCCTCTTACCGTAACCTAGTTATGGAAACACAGTCAGAAGCACATTACTTGTCTGCAACTCAGGGTATCTTGTAGCTTTTAAAAATCCTGATTACATAAAGGATTCTGACAAATGGTTCTGGATTATCAAGGCAAAAGCTGCAAATGATTAATGGTTTCAATTGTGCAAATAGTCATTGCTACTCTTTGAGTTTTCACTCTTCAATATTGGCTAATAATTCAGTATTGACAAAACAGTAGTCGCAGCTGTGCCCACCAGAGCTGAAGAAATGATCTTTTAATTGAATTGCCATGGTTGCCTCGTTAAATGCCTCAAAGCGTCATATTCCTTCTCATAACAGCTGCCAGTCACCTGTTTATTAAATAAAAATCATTTTCTGTCAGCATCCTTGATATGAAGCAATGGTATAAGAATCAGATCTACCGAGAAAGCAAATTTAGTTTTTTGCAGGACCACCTACAACACCTCGCTAGCTGTTCATACAATCTGAATTTTAATTATTAAAAGATATTCTTTTAATTTTATTTGGTTTGCATTTGAAGTACCTCTATGTGGTCTCAAAAAAATCCATAATGAGAAAATGACTGGCATTTTATGGCATTCCAAGAGCCAGGCTGAACTTATCAGCAAAATATCTCCTTTTAGCTTTGTTTTACGAAAGTACTTGAGAGGAATGGATATTTGCAATTAAAATGAAAAAAGAATAGCATGCAGAAGATTGAAAGAAGCATGATTAGACAATCTATGTGTATATCAGGACAACAAGAATATCAGAAAAAGAGAAGGCATGAATATGATATAATTTCTGGGTTTTAATCAAACATTTTCTTGATCTCAACTTCTGCATCTCTTCCAATTTGTCTATTGATATTGGCTGTGTTCTGTGGAGTTCCGCATCATTGGGATATTGTCCGCTTTAATCTGAAAATTTCATGATTTTGACTCATGAAACACACCTTCCGAAATGGGTCAAATCTTTACATATATATACCATAATGGATCCTTGATATATCCCTATGCCGGATTGAAACGTTAAATGTTTTCTGAAGTATGAAATGAATAATAGATTGAAACGTTACATGTTTTCTGACATGTATGAAATGAATAATAGATATCCGTATTTGACTAGTATCTTACCACTAGTTAACAGCTTTTCGATGCAACCTAGTCTCGACCTAGAATTTTCTGATGCTACTGTTTGAAGAGGAGTTGATTTATTTTTACCGTATAAAACTTAACCACTTGCTATTACAGACTGCCATACTTTGTAGTGCAATTAACTGATATTCTGTTTCATAAGTCTCATCTCTGCTTAAGCTTATCAAAGTTACCTCTAAAGTTTTTAGTTGTTAAGATCTGCATTGATTGTATGCTACTTTCTTCCAGCTGAGGCATCCAAGGCTTGCAAACTTTAATATATGGTTAGCAGACCGTTAAGGCTTGTGGAAGCAGACTAGATTTCTCTTATTTTTTTTTAGATATTTAAGGACAGTCTTTTCATTTCATAATTTTAGTATTATTATTATTACTACTACTATTGTCATTTTTTTTTTAATCTGCTTGTATCCATCGTTCAGTGGGTTCTTATGCTTAATTTTGACATTAAAAGATATCGATATCTTCATCCTAGCTTTTTTTTTTTTCCCCCTAATTTTCACAATTTGGAATCACAACTTATCCCTTCATTGCCCCGATCAGACTATTTCAAGTTATTGGTTTTCAGTGTTAAGAAAGTTTGCTTTTATACGTTCTGAATAAGTTGCTTCCTTTTGATATGGAAAAAGGGGATCTTCTCGCATGCCAAGCTTTATAGAGTTAGATGTAACTTCTGCAGAACCTTCTCTATTTAGACTCCAATAAAGTTTAAAGATTCAGGGTTAAGTCTTACCATTTTTGGAGTTCAAACAGTATATATATACAGCAGCATGCGTACCAGAAGGAAATTAAGATCACAGTTATGAATCTGTTGACCTTAATGAAGCAATTACTCTAACAATCAGGATGTTCCTTTGTTTATTTAGGTACGACATTGAAACAGTGGTTGGAAGGAGAATAACTTTTTGAATTGCTTGAACAATGAACAGTGTGTCAAACATTTTGCTCCTCTTTCATGCCTTGGAGTATTCTGTTTTGCATGCTTTGTACCAAAGATAAGAGCAGAATATTGGATCAACAAAGTTAATTGCTAAGATATTTGTCAATGTTAACAATAAGTAGTCTGTATAATCTCTTCCACTGACAGTAACAGCTGATGTCAGTCAGAGATAATGACCTATGTCTGCCATTGAATTGTTTCCAAGGAAACACAGGCGCTTATATACTACGAATGCAGGTGGTATGTATGCACGCGTAGATTTAACTAGATTTTGGGCTATTCAAATGGTTACTATATTTTGATTGGAGGATTTAATAGTACTATTACGCAGTTCAGAATGTCCTGTAGAGTTTCAAAGTTCTGATTTTGGGAAAGAACCAAATCTAAATTTGATGTGTCATTGGCTCTTTGTTGACTTGCCAAGACCTCTTTTTTGGATTTTGTTCTCAGGAGAAGAAATCCAATTGATCTAAAAATAAATGTTCCATTTCTTTTGTAATTTTATTCCAATGTTTCTTTGCCAGATAAAATTTGCAGAGCTTGGGAAATTTTGCACCTGCACTCAGATTTAAAGACTCAGCATAGCCATCACACCTTCCATGCCAAGAATATATGTTTATTCTAGCAGACTGGCAATAATCTCATTGTTCTAATTCTAGTTTTTGACTTGAAGTCTGAACCAGATATCTATGTGATCTTGAAATTTAGAGTTAAAGGCGTGAACAATGCAAATTACAATCAGATTAAAATGCTCTTAGAAGTCAGCAGGCGACAGTATTGTCGGTATGCAGCATCAAGGTTATCATCAGTGTATAAATGGAAAACAAATTTTATCTTTTTCTTGCTCTAAGTAAGTTAATAACTAACACTATGAGAGACACAAGAAATGCTGATCCTGCAAACATTAAAGGTTTACGCAGTTTGTTCCTTTTCTGCTTATCCACCTTAGCTGCTCCTTCAATTGGAGCTTTGTCAGCGTCTATCTCAGGAGATGTATCTGTGTCGCCTTCATTTTTTTGACGACGTTCTTCCTGATCAATTTCTTCTCTGATTTCTCCTGCCATGTACTCGGTTTCCTTTTCCTGATCTGATTCTTGTTTATCTGATTCATCTTGAAGTTGTTGTTGGGTTGGAGTTTCATTTTCCTTTGGCTCTTGATCAGGTTCAGGTTCCATTTTGGATTCCTGAACATCTACTCCACTTTCCTGCTCTTCTGATTGTTCCGAAGTTAAATCTTCTGCTTGATCATCATCATTTGCAATTTTTTCATCTTCAGCTTGACTTGGTGGTAAACTCGGTAAATCTGATTCTTCAGTCGCTTGACCTGCTGTATCGCCTGTTTCTTCTTTTCCTGGCTCTTCCTCTGGTTCTTTAACCTTTTGTATCTCATCATCAGAAGGTTCTTTTTCATCTAGTTCTTTGATTGATGGAATCTCTGTCATCTGTGATTCAACTACCTCAGACTCCATTATCTCTGGTTCTGGAAATGTTGGTGGAGCAGCAGGAGCTGCAACCTTTTCTTCTGGGATCTTTTTCGGCGCTTCCAACACCTGATCAGGTTCCTCCATTGTTTCAATCTCAGGTGCTTCGGGTTCTTTTTGCATCACCTCTTCAATTCTTTCAGGCTCTTCATAAATTACATTTTCCACTGCCCCTGGTTCTTCTTTCTCAATCTTCTTTTCAATTTCTTCCTCTTGCTCTACCTCAGGTTCTCCTGTTTCTGCCTCAATACGATTTTCTTGTTCAACCTCTTCACGTGCTTCAACTTGCCATTGATCAGTTTCTTCAGCGCTTTGAATCTTTTCCTCAACTATCTCTACCTTTGGTACGTCTTCAGGTTCCTTCTTTTCAACCAATTCTACTTTTGGTACCTTTTCAGGTTCCTTCTTTTTGACATACTTAACTCTTGGTTCCTCTTCAGGTTGCTTCTTATCAACCAGCTCTACCTTTGGTACCTCTTCATCTTCCTTTTTTTCAACTACCTCTTCCTTTGGTACCTTTTGTTTAATCACCTTACGCTCTCCTTCTTCTTCCTTCTCTTCCTCAATCCCAACACCACAGATTCCTTTAACCTTCTTTTTCATGATAATTCTCAATGTTGATTCTTCTTCATTATACTTTGCTTTGATTCGTTCCAAATTGACAACATCAGGTATCCGAAAAACCTTTCGAAAAGCCTTTATCTCAACCTCCTTCTTGCACATAATCCACCCTATCATCACCATCTCCTGAACAGGTTTCTCCCCACTTATTGCTATCTGATTCCCATCCTTATTTATCTCAATGAAGATATTCTCTCTTCTGAAACCTGCATTAGTTTCAAATCTTCCATTGGCATCACTAAATCAACATCCACAGAAACTAAATTCTAAGAAAATTAAAAAAGAGAAGGGACCTTTGAGATGAGCAATGAGGATGAACATTTGGTCAGTTTCTCTAGACAAGAAAACAGGACCAAAAGGATCTTTGCTAATCCGAAGATCGGCTGTTGAAGTAATATCATCTCTTGTATGTGTAATCTTGAGTCCTAATTCCAGCTCCATGACTCTTTTTTCTTCTTTTTGTGCAAGATTTTGATTCTATTCTGTTTCTTGATTAAAATAAAAGAAGATGAACAGAGTAATGTGGGGCAATGTTGAGTAGGGAAAATGGAAGCATTGTGGTGTGTGTTATAAGAGTAAAGGATATATTCATTGCTTCCGAACAGGATCTTTGTGAAGGGCGTTAGAACAACGGTAGAAAAGTCCGTTGCTTGTGTATTGTCTTGCCTTAGCAGGAAGCCTTCGGTTGCTTGTATATTGTTTTGCCAGCCCTATATGTGAGGACTGAAGAGGAAACCAGTTTTGCTGCTATTTGGACTTGGCCTGGCAAGTACCCAAGAAATTTGCCTTCTTCATCTTCAATGTCTAAGGTTGCATTTGGTCCGTAGCAATTCAAAGAAAGGGCAATAATTATCTATGGTGTAGCAATCTTTCAAAGGTATGTATGACATCTTACACATGATTATGACCTTTCCTACTGTTAATTTCCATTCAAAAGATTACATATGATTCTATCCCTTTTTGGTTTTTTCTTTGGCAGATTTGAAAGGTGAAAAGTTGTGATTCCCACAACTTTCTTTATGAGTTTCCTTGGTATTTAGGACTTGATTTTACCAAATCTTTTGCTACAAGTAGGCTTCTATGTCATCATAATCTTTATTGCGTCATCAAATTTTTAATTTGATAGTACTATTTGGTCAAAAGAAACCAAGAACACGAATCCTATAACACTGGGATATATTGAAAGGCAAATAGGAAAGGTATGGTTGCTAAATTTCCAGTGAAATGAGACCAACCATGCATATAGGATCCCTTTGGTATAAGGGTTCTTATTTATATTTATTAAATAATTTATTTAATGCAAAAACGGACTAGAAGCAAACACTCTCCAAATTGATATTTTTTGAAGATTTCATGCATTTGAATGAGACATATTTCAAAAGATTTTGTTTACGAGTTTTCAATATTACCTCCTCAGTATCAGCTGGATCCATTCCCCCATGTGAACTTAGATTGCTTTTCAAAACGATTTCATCATGATTTTTTGGTCAAAATATGTTTAATTTTCATCTCACCAATAAAAGGGTAAAACCATCGTGAATTAGTCAATAAGGATGTTAAAAATAAAATAAATAGAAAAGTGCAAAAAATTTCCCTTTTTTTTATTAATAAAAGCATTCTTAACTATCTATAAGATAAATTTTAAAAATATATAGAGAACAAGAGTCTTCACTGGGAGTGATTCTTTCTTTTTTGGTTTTTAATTTTTTTATTTAAAAAATATTTGATAAAAAGAGACGAGTAATTATTCTTTAAGAGGATGAGAGAGGGTAAGTGAAAGGTTTTTGAAATGAAAAATTAACAAAATTTACGTTTTGACCTTAAAAAGCATAATTGAAAAATTAACAAAGGTTATAGTCTTTCTTTTGATATGTAATTTTTTATATAATTCAAAAAAATTAAAAAATCATGTTTCTTATATAGAAATATGATTTTTGAAAAATCAAAATCTGTATTTGTCAACTTCATTTTGAATGTTATATTATTTATAATATGTAGTTTTTAATACAATCCAAAAAATCTAAAAAACATGATCTTTGAAAAGCCAAAGCCTATATTTGTTAGCTTCACTTTAAAAGTAATTTTTGAATACAATTCAAAAAATTTAAAAATTACATTTCTTATATAGAAACGTGATCTTTAAAAAATCGAAGCATGTATTTGAAAACGTTGTTGATAATTTATGAGAGATAATTTTTTTGGTTTCAAAATGTGATTGATAATAAATAAAAAGAGTTAGATATAAAAATTGTTTAAGTTGCATTTTGTATGTTAAAAATGTAATTTTTGAATCACAAAAATCATGTTTTTTATATAAAAAATGTAATTTTAACAAAAAAAAAAAAGCACATTTTGATAACATCTTGACTCCTTCTAAGATAAGCCACGTGTCACAGTTGGTGTTTCTTTTTTCCTTCTCTCATTTTTTTTACATGTGCTAGAGGTTGTGTGCAAACTTATTTTTTTATCTAAAAAAATGGCATAGAGGTGGGTGAGAGAGGATTTCCATTTTTTGTTCTTTTTCTTCCTTTTCTTTATCTTACCTACTAAAGAAAGGGTTGGATGCTTTGAGGGAAAGCAGAAAGAAGAAGAGGGAAGAAATGAAGTGATAGGGTGAAAATAAAGAGATCAAGCTATCTTAGGCTGTTCCAATGTAAGAGCCACTAGCGCTTGCCATTTTTGGGTTCATTTTTTAAAAACTTTTTGATTAGATACTTTTTTAGATCTAGATTCTTTGAGATCATTTTCTTTTATGAAACGACTAATAATGGAAGAGTAATGTGGTTATGTTAGCGATTAAAGAATGGCAAAATGATCCTCATAATTTTAGATAACCTCTAGTAGAAACTTAGCCTTGAAGCTGATGAGATCTCATTTGATAATGAAGCCTCTAAAAATTTTCAACTGCTGGATGCAAAATATTGCTAACTTCTATAAGCCTTGAAAAGGACCTGCAATTGAACAAACATTATCTTGCAGTTTGGAGGATTTGTACAAAGAGACTACCAAGAAAATGAAGATTTCTAGGGATGTTTCTGATGGTAGCGGGTATTCTTTTACTTTCGATTATTTGGATTATAGTTTTCCTTTTTTTGCAAGTTAATGTAATTGGGTAATGTGTAGTGTCTCTATATTATTTTTGCTATAGTATTGTATTGGGTTGGATTCACTAGAAAGCATAAGAGGACTATAAAGGTGGCCGCAACCTTGATGTTTGGTTGCCAGTGTCTGATATAGGTATAGCTCTTAGATAACTACTTTTCTAGATTGCTACGAGTCATTAATTCCCAAATTTAGAAACTAAAGTACTCTACATATTTCCTGAATAATTTCTAATTGCTGGCTATCTTTAATCGATTAGTTATCTTAGGGGTCCATCCCATTTATTTTGAATTAGAGTGGAAAGATAAAGTTTTGAAGTTTTGAAACGAAATATCAAGAAGATCATTTTCTAATATATATTGATCTTTGACTTCATCATAGCTATGAAGCTATTGCAAGGCAATAAATTTTAGGGTACAGGTTTAGCTTTACTTCTACTTTTAGCAAAGTTTCATTATTTTTACAATTCATCTCAAAAAAAAAAAAGTTGTACTCTTACATCTCGCCCATTATCATGTATGCATTTAGTGGAGTTTTTATTTTTATTTTTACATATTTTTGTTTTTCATGTTCATTGAATTGAATTATTCTTATGTTTTTTAGTACCATATTCCTATTTTTAATTCTGTATATATTCAATGATACAAATTTTAAATTATGGATGTATTCTTGATTGAGTTTAATCTATTTGATATTATCTCATTTTTGGAAATCATTGTTTTGGCATTATCTGTTTATTGTTAACATTTGATTTAAAATCTTGATTCTTGACTGATTTATTAGATATCCAGATTTGATTTTATCTCATCACATCTAATGTTTCAAGATTGTGTGTGAAGTGTTCATTGATATCAAATCCTTAATAGGTATGCAAATAATAACATACATCTAAAAGTATGTTTTCTATATTGAATTCATGATTAAATGCTCAGGGTATCATTTTAATTGAAAATCAATGTTTTGGTATTATCTGTTTATGGGCAACATGAGATTTAATATCTTCGTTGATTTGTTTTTTAATCTTATTATATCTTATTCTATAGGTGTCTTTTATCTTTTATATACATGATTAGATATCAAAAAATCTTTAAAAATATTTGCTGAAGTTCATCAAAATATAGGTACTCATGAAATCAAATCAATGTCATTCATATATAATGACATGCATAGAACAAAGCTTGCAATTAAAGCCTTTCATTGTGATGATGTGCATAAATATGGTGTAAACACCATATTTTATCTGGGGATTTTCTTGAAATTCATTAAGTTTTGAATATTGGGCACTAATTCAAAAGTTTTGGATCCGAGAATTAAAAGTCAGAAAATCTTAATTTTAATTTTAATTTTAATTTATTTTGTTAATTTCATGAAAAAAAAAAAGGGGAAAAAAGAAGTAAAAAATAAATAAATAACGTGTGAATTGGTTCCTTGAAGATTTTGGATTCTGATTTTGTGAAACTTAATGATGGATTAATTTAGGAAAATTTAATTCCCAATTCAATGAAAAAAAGGAAAGATTGTATAAAAATTTAATCCTAGAAGATTTGTCATAGATTCGGTAGAATTTCATAATTTTCTAGTTCAAAGGTATTGAATCCTTATAAAAGAGACCCAATCTGTGAATCATGGAGCTGGACAGTAGCATATCAATCAAGATCAACTAGGGGCCTATTGAAAAGCATGAAAAAGAATTATCAAGCAAGAACAGGCATCAAGCAGCAAGCAAATTTCTTAGAAAGATTTCGAGTCTATTTTTCGATATTCTTTAGACCAGGAATGAGCAAATGAAAAAGTGAGTTGCTCAATGGCTTTGGAGGCGATAATTTATGGTGGAGCTTAGGGTATGTTAACATAAGGCTATAGAAAAAAGGAAAGAAATATGGAAAAAAAAGTTGCTTAAAAACACAACACTTTGCTTGAAAAAAAAAGGAACATTCTGGAAGTTTAAGCAAAAGAGGAAAGTTAAAAGAAGGCAAGGATCCAACGATTAGCACTTGGCCCAATTAGTGGAAGCCTAACTCAAGTTTCAAGACTTGGACCAAGTTAAGATTTAAACTGACTAGGCTAACAATAACCTTGCCTAAGCCCAATTTTGGTAATTTCTTTTTTTTTCCTTGTTTCAATTTTGTTATTTTTATTTTTATCTTTAAAATAAAAAAAATTTTGATAAGATATTTTATAATTTGTATGTTTTATTTATGATTTTATTTGCATGATTTTTTTTATTATTTATTTTTCATGAATTTAATTTAATTGTATGTTTTTGCATGGATAGTGTATATATATATATATATATATATATATATGCACGAGTTTGATTATTTGCATGATTATTAATATTTTATTTGTGTGATTTTTTTGCATGATATTTTAATATTATTGCATGCTAATTTATATTATATTTGCATGATTTTA